ACACTAACATATTAAGGCAAAAACTACATAATCAGCTCAATAGGTGAAGAAAAATGTTTGATATAAACTCAACATTCAATCATAACTAAAATTCTCTGCAAAGGTGGAATAGAAGTCAACATAACCTAATAAATGGTATCTATCCAAAAATTAGAGCAAACATCATTTTTAAATGGGAAATATTCTAAGTGTTCTGTGGTAGATGTGATTCCTGTTCTCAATTCTTCACTCCCTCTTCTGCAAGGTTACACTGTGGTGAAGGACAGAGGGTGGCATTTACATCTTCACCCTATTAATTTGAGGTTTAATTCCACCACTGGATGCAAGAAGTGACAGTGTGCCAGTTCCTACAGTGAGGCCTAAAGGGTCAACACACATTTCCACTGTGGAGTGAGTGATACGTCATGTAACCTGTGAACTCCACTGCACCATAAGTAAATACATTCTTACACAGCCACAATGCCACCAAATGAGAAAATGATTTACTACCATTTCTAGTATTCCTCAGACACCACTCAAGATTTTCTACTTTCCCTAATATAATTTTTATGATGAAAGAATCTAGTTCAGGGTCACCCGTCACATTTCATTTTGGTGCCTCTTCAGTCTCCTTCAGTCTAAAACAGTTCCTCTGACTTACCTTGACATTCATTACCACGACACTTCTGAAGATTAACAGGGCAGTTTTTTTTTTGTACACTGTCCCACAAATTAGGTTTTCCTGATTTTTCCATATGAGCGGATTTATGCATCTTTGGCAGAAAAATCCAGAAGTGATTCTGTGATTTTTCTCATTACATCCTGTCCAGTGAGGCATGATTGTGATTTGCTCTGTTACTGCTGACGTTCACCTTGATCGTTTAAGATAGTGCTTTCCAGATTTTTTCACTGGAGAGTTACTCTTTTTCTCTTTGTAATGAATATTTTATGAGGAGGTGATTTAAAATTTTTAAATTTCATATTTCTAATCAAACGTTTAAATGATTCATTTATGTAATTTTATGGACTCATGTTTTCCTGTTTAGCCAATGGATTACGATCTACTGTCATCATGTATTTTGTTCCTGAAATCCTCTTCAGCTGAGGCTTATCCAAGCTGGCTGCTTCATCCCCTTGACATGCCCCATCATTCTTGAGCAGTTCCTTGCTTTCTGAAACAAGGTGTTCCAGGCTCATTTTGTACCTTCTTTGCACTGGCCCTGGTATCAGTCATTTCTCAATGGGTCCCTGTTTCTTTTAGTGGAAAATATGTCTCTATCTATCTTGAAAACGTGGATATCTTCAATTCCAGCCCAACACCACAATGTTCACTCTAGTTTTCTCCCTCTTCATCTCTATAAATCCCTCCTTAAATATTGAGAAGTATGGCTCCCTTTATCCTTAATATAATTGCTTATTTGATCAACCCTCTGTAACCAACATCCCATATCCACCTCCTCCCCACTCAGACATCTTTCTTACCCTGACTGAGGTCTGATTCTCCATGCCAGTGTATCTCTCTCTATATAAACATCTGTTTGGGTGTCCACGTCCCTTGCTAGGCCACCTCTAATAGGGTCACCCTCCTCACTTGGCTAAGTTTCTGCCTCCTTCTGCCAGGCCATTCCCCCTGTGTGGGTTCCCTTCTTACCAAGCCTGGGCTCTGACTCTCCATTCTGGGCCACTGCCCATGTGGACACCATCCTAACCCTGCCTGGGCACCAGCATGCCATGAGGGCTTGCCCCCAAATGCAGACACCACCACTATCCTGCTTAGATTCTGATACCCAACTCTGGGCCACTGCAGACCACCCCCTCCAGTAAAGGTGTGTATGCCATCCCACTTTTCTCCATCTAATGACTTCAGGACTGCATTGCTCGTGGAGTGAAAGAGAAGAGGGAAAGAGAATGGCTGGCCATCTCATGTCTGAGATCCTCTACTTATGGTGTAGGTTGTTCTTTCAGAACTTTGATCATTTTCTTAAATTCTTTAAAGTAATTTTGAATTTTAGGGTACAGTTTTCAAATCCTTTGGGGCCACATTTAAAATTTTATTTTCATTAGCTGTTAAGCATTCATTTTCATTTCTTCTTTTTTTCTTTTTTTCTTTTTGTAGTGTCTTTAAATGGGGTTCCATCCAAATCTTTTTTTGCTTCCCATGTTTAAATGAAAAACGATATCCTGGACTGTTCAGAAGCGCTTCCCGCGTGAGAGCAGCCATGAGCCAGAGTAGCTGTTCCGGAGTCACAGCTCAAGGACTTTGTCCTTTGTTTTTACCACCAAGTATTAAGAAATAAGGGTACTTCTCCACTCCCTACCATCTCTTGGGTATTCTCCAGCGTTCCCTGCTCCTTGCCTCCCTAAGTGGTGCTCTCACATTTGAAAACTGTAATTTTCTCTTACTGTATTCAAGGTCTCCCTCCTCGGGACCTGTGCCTTCCACACCACTCCCACCTTCCCATCATAGGAAATGATTTTCTCCCGGAGATCTCCAGTGTTTTCACCCTGTTCAATTTGGATTCTGCTCCTCAAAGTTTATTTTCAGGATGAGTGTCTAGCCTACTAAAAGCCTCTCTCTCTCTCTCTCTCTCTCTCTCTCTCTCTCTCTCTCTCTCTCTCTCTGGAGAACCCTGACTCATATACCTCATCAACCAGCCTCTCACCGCTGTTGTAGCCAACACTGGCCTTTCTACCATTTAGAAGAGCCTTAGTAGATTTTCATACCTTCTTCCCTCTGCCTGCAATAACAACTCCTATCTCATTACTTTGCCTTATTTCCTTCACAGAACTTAACCATCATCAGAAATTGTACTATTTTTCGGTTGCCTACAATCATCTCCTCCACAGGATGGAAGCATCCTGAGGATAAGATGTTGCCTTCAGCACTGCTGGAACTTTGGCACCTGGGATGGTGTCTGGTTCACATCTTACACATATTTGTGAAATGAATTTAGAATACTTACTAATACCAGCACTAGCACTAGAGTCCCTGAAAATGGGGACATTTCTTATTTTCTAAAGAGAAATGCAATGACCTAATAGATAAAAGTTATGATATCTGTAAGAGAAGGAGAAATCCCTTGCTTTCCATAATTTGTTTTCATCTTAACATGAAATTTTGGGTTTTATTGTTATTTGGATATTTGCAAGGGTGATAAAGGTCAGGGGCAAAGGGTACAAAGAGATTGAACTGCTTACTTTTGGATACTTACTCTGACATTTCTTTGAAATGCTAACCATGCTTTGAATAACTATGTGATTGGAATTCACACATATTTAGTTCTGCACCTTGGCATGAAATATCCACTTATCAAAAGAGAAGTGTGAAATTCAAGGAGACAAGTTATGAAAACAGTTTAATGTATGCACTTTGCCTGAATTCATCTAAAGAAATAGTAAGAAAATGCAAAACTTTCCAAAGTATGCTTTTAATAGTATATAAGCAAAAACAAAGGAGTAAATCCCATATGTTTGCCATGTCAAAATAATCTTTATTGAGTGCCTAATATAATCAATTACTACTATATTTCTTTGTAGAAATGAAACCCCCTAGATTAAAATTTATTATTGTAATAATAGAAACATACTTTTAATGTGTTCTGTGCCACAGGCATTGTTCTAACTGCTTTAGTTCTATTATTTCATTCAGTCTTCACAACACTTACAGTTATATACTGTCATCATTTCCAGATGTGAAAATATAAACACTGAGAATTCATTTTGAAGAATGTATTAATTCTTCCTTAAGAACTGGAATACAGGCTGAACCAGTTATCTATTGCCACATATCAAACCATCCCAAAATTTAATGGCTTCCAGTAACGGCCATGTATTTACTCATGATGCTGGCGGGTGCTTTCTTCGGGTGTGGGCCAGCCTCCTGTGATCTTGGCTAGGCTTGCTCATGTGTCTCTGGTCTGTTGGCATGTTGGCCTGGGGTTGGTTGTGGATTGCCTCACTCAGTGTCTGGAAGTGGGCTGGCTGGCTATCAGCCAAGGTAGCAGGGTGGCTGGGGTATGAACCATGCCTTTTTGTGTGTGTGTTTGTTTTGATGCTTGACATCTTGGGACCTTGCTGACCCTGGAGGGCCTGTGCCTCTCAAGGCTGGCTAATTCTTAGAGATAGTAAACAACTTGCCTGCAAACATGCCCCTCAAATGCAAACCAGCCCAGAGCTATAATCCAACCACTTCCTTTATCAGGCTCTCACATTCTGTGCCACTATTCACCTGCCCTAATAATGCCAGGGCCAGGTACCAGACAGCTAGCAATGTTCCCAGGCACGAGAGCCTGCTGAAATGATTCAAACTAGCCAGTCCTAAGGCTGCTTACCCTGTTTCACCCATTCCTTCCTATAGAAACCACAAGAAAGGCTATTACTCACTTTTTCCCAAGCTCATTCTGACTCATGACCAACGCTGGTGCTTCCCTATGTGTCCCTTCCCCAAAAGGGGCAGGGGTAGGCATGGCATGTTCCCTCCTCTTGGGATCTATGAATACAACAATCTGTCTTCTCAAAGGCAGTTGTCTCCTGATCCGTTAGCCTCATCATACTTGAAAAATAATGAAACCTACAGTTTCAAACAGCTGGGTGGTGTGTCATTTCATCATCTGGCACACCAGCCTGGGCTTGTTCACGTGGCAGCTAGGTTCCAAGACCAGCAAGAGCAAGCCCCATTGCACACGTACTTTTCAAGTCTATGCTTTATCATTGACCAAAGCCAGGCACACGGTCACGCCCAGGGTCGTGTGAGAGGAATGGATACAGGGTGGGGAGTGGCTGCAGGGAGCCATTGCAGATTAGGGTCATATCTGCAGTCAGTCCACAGAACAGGCATTTCAGGAGATTTCAAATCATTATCTTTGATTGAAGTAATCCTGAGAGTTTGGCCACTGAAATAAGCAAGTAATGTTTGCCTTTTCACAATTATTTTGTCAAATGTTACCAACTATCATAATGCTAAGAACTGTTATTCAGAAGACTAAGCTTATAAGCTAATAACTAAAATCTCTTTTACTTAGGGAAGTGACTGGTTGTCACTAAAGGGCTTAGACAATATAAAGCATTTTCGGGGTTATGATTATAGTCATTTTGGTCAAATCACAGAGGGTATGGTAATCTAATAATAATATTCACAGCAATTCTTAGTATTAGCTTGCTTCCACGAAGCAGGAAAAAATAAAAATAATAACTTTGTTAGTCCACTTATTCCAAATCAAATTCCAGAAATAGTTGTAAACAGTAGAAACACATCCCTACTCACAAAGGTTATACTTGTGGGTCTTTGAACCCTAAATTGTTCTTTTATCTTAATATCCAGGCCAGTGAATATGGGAATTTGAATGACATTAGTCTGAAAGTCATTTCACTGAGTTTAACCACTGAAGTTTTGGTTAAGTGGGAAACTTCATCCTTAAATTGTCTGTGTTAATTTTGATGTCTGAAGTATGGATGTAATAGACCATAAGCTCCAGCCTTTAGAAAGAGTTCGAAGCTGCCTTGTCTCATTCTCTACCCACTATTCTACCCCAAGAAGGGTCTCTGTTGTGAGTTGAGGACAAAATGCAGTTATCGGGGACATGGTGTTGCTATCCCAGAAAGGGATGGAGTTTTTGCAAGAAAATAACATAATCATAATAGTACTGGATGGGAGTAGGTGGGTTCTTCTTTAGATTGTTATCTCTTGGCCTCTCTTCCTATTACTTTTCTTTCTTCGTCTCAGGATACCATTGTGATAGGTCTGAGCAGGGGGACATCTGTTTGGAAAAGCAGAACAGGAGCCAGGGTGAGGTCAGGGGACATGCACAGCCAGAAGCCAACCTGCTTCTATCAGCTCCTATGCAGAAAACAGCATAGGGACCTGGGACCAACCTGCAGTAAGGAGAGTCGGTTTGTCTGTAGCATCTTCTGGGCAAATGTCTATTGAGATTTATTGTGGTTACTAATTTATTTCAATATGTGAATTTCATATTCTGACCATATCACTTTCTATTAGAAAGTCATGATTATTATTAATCATTTCACAAGATTGTTATGAGGATCAAATGAGATGATATAAATATAATTCCTAATACAGTGCTTACTACATAGCACATACTAGTAAATGTTACTTGTTAATATATTAAAACTTTTGTGTTTGTAGTTTATAAAAATAAATGACTTCTTTAAATTGTGAGGCAGCAAGTCAACTTTGGATTTATTAACTACCACGGTGCCCATATTTGGCTTTTTCATTAGATTGGGCTATGAACTTATTGGGTAATTTAACTTTAGATTGTGGCAAATATTTGTTTACATGAATTAAAATGAGGAATTAAAAAAGTAAACTGACTTTCTGTGCTAAATTCTTTGCCCGGGTTTTTACACAATATATGTTTAAAAGACAAATTAGGCCATAAAAAAAGCATGGTGTATTTTAAATCCACAGAATATTTATGCTTTATCTTAGAAAGAATTATAAAGCAATAAAAATGACCTTTTTTCTTTGGTTTCTTTTCTGTATTACATTTTCAAAGATCAGAAGAAATGAAAAAATAACTAAATGCTATTTCAGAGAAGAAAGAAAAAGATAGCTTTGTGTAATAGCTCAATCAGTTCATCAGCTTCTTATAAAGGAGTCTTGCTTTTCAGTGATATTATGGATTACATTGTTTGCCTATGTTAAGCCTGAACAAATCCTTTTTGTCTAAATTGTATATCAGTGTAGAATTATTCTTAATGCTATATTTAAAGTAAGACTATCAGGATTATTACGTTCAATTACTTCTAATTATACTTCTTAAGATTTTGTTCTTGAATTTTTTTTGCCGGGAGATGGGCAAAGAAATGTCATTATATATAATCTTGATTTATTTGCCTGATGTCCTACTGCAAGGGTTTGGATGGAGGTGTTTCGCTCTAAGAAAGCCCAATTTTGTTACTCACTGTACAACATATGCCTGGTACTGAGGGAGAAGGGCATGCAATTATTCAATTAATACTTAATTCATGCCTTTGAAATGTTCTTTAAGGGATATCAGGAAGCTATGATTCATACACATACACGAAGGCATTTTATATGTGACACTGTATGGTCACAGGCTTCTGCCCAAGGGAGGATATCGTTGTGTAGTCATAAATTAAATGTCTGGATATTGCACTAGTTCCAAAGGGCTGCTACCATACAAGGGCTTTTGGCATCCCTTGTAAACAAATGTCCTGACACTCTCTTCTCTTTTGCAGATGAGCTCTCTCAACAAGAGGACAGTGATCCCCAAAAAGAATATGATCCCGGACAGTTTGCAGGCCTTCTGCATGGATCCTCTCCAGCCTGTGAGTCCCCTGAAAATCCATTTCATCTCTATCGGAAAAGAAATGAGTGTGAAGAAGAACAAGATGAAATCAATTTGGCAAATAGTCCTTTGCCTTCCAAGCAGTCTCCAGTAGAAAACAACTCAGAACCTCTGGTAAAGAAAATTAAACCCAAAGTGGTCAGTAGAACCATTTTTCACAAAAAGAGCAACCAAGTTGAGAACCATACCATTGTTGGCGCAAGAACAGTTAGAAGCGGATCCCGGAATGGGGACCAGTGGATAGTGAACCCCGGGGGATTTGTGGAGAGAGCCTGTACACTGGGCAGAATAAGGTCACTGCCAAAAGCCCTAATCGACATGCACTTATCAAAATCGGTCTCTAAATCGGATTCTGATCTCATTGCCTACCCTTCAAGTGAGAAAACATCAAGAGTTAACTGGAGCGCGTCGTCAGCTGCTGAACGCAGTTCTAAAGGGAATTCTGAAAGGGCGCCATCCTTCACTTCTGAATGGGAAGAGGTAAACCTTGCTCCTCTCGTTCTTTATAATAAGGCCCTGGAACTGAAGAAAGTTTAGGGGAAGGACATTCAGCCTTGTAAGTCTTTCAGAGGCAAAATAATAACAACAAGCACCTACAGCTCCAAGCAGAAAGGAAGGGCTCGGGGATAATACTTGATAATTTTACAGCAAGTGTAAAAACAAACACAGTTTTACGTGTGTGGGGAAATCTCTTGTTTCCATAGGAATTGGTATCAAGCATAAGTAATAACTAGCTATGAGGTACAAGAGAATGTCCGCATCACGTCCTCCAAATGCTGCAGCTGCCAAATTGAGAAAAACCTTCATATTTTTGCTTCTATATCATATTGCTACTTCTAAACTCTTTGTTAGCTCATCTCACTTCTTTAAAATGTCTTACATTTCAGAAAAGCTCCCTATAATCTTAACCTTAATGGTAAACAAAATGGTCCTGGTTTTTCTCTAAGTGCCATACTATAAACACAAATTACTTAGTATTTCCCTTTACACCTATCAGAGGCACATTAAAGAAAGAATGTGTTGAGGTCAAGTACCACCAATTTAAGTTCTACTTAAAGACAAAGTCTTTAATTTCATAAAAGTATTGAGAAGTAAGTGTCCTTGTAAGGTAATAAAATATTATCCTTTGTCCCTAAGGAGGACCTCATCATAAAATTAAAAAGTTTCTTGCGTTTTCTTGAATTCTTTCGAAGAATGGACCACACTCTCCCTTGATGTTTCATTCTAATGTGTCACATTTTGTCTCTCAAAAGGCTGTGCCAGTTGGATCAGGTTTTGAAGCACATAGGTCAGTATAATATTCTGAGAACTAGAAATGTCTGATACTGACATTCTGAATTGAGCTGTTCAGGAAAAACACTGAATCTGTTTACATCTGTTTCAGGGTGAACAAAATGGGATATTTAAATAATGCTTATTGTCCTTTTCTGAAACCTGCTGTCTTACTCAGATTGCTAGGATGATGAGGAAGGGGATTAAACCTTAAATGGCTAGCTTAGACAGTCCTGCCTTCCTATAAATTCCATATTTGTAAATTGATAGCTGACTTGAGTCTACCAACCATTTCTTACATTTATTAACTGTATGAGTAACATCTGAAATCCTTTTTGGAATGAGACAGGATTAATTAACATTTAACTTATCACTGAGAATTAAGTTTGTTCCATGTTTAGATTCCTGTGATTACATGCCACAAATCTGCTTGTGGCTGGTGAAGCCATTTAGTAAGAAGCTGGTTCCAACAGCTATGCCCACAAACTGAAACCTGCCCCTTCACCAGTCAGATGAGATGCATGCTCCAGATGAAGAGGAAGGATGTCTGAGAGGATACACGGCGTCACAGGAACTTATTCTTAGCCCATTCCCCTTCTGAGTTTAAAGAATACACAATTCCTAATTTACTGTTCATGCAGATACAAAGTTCATTTTATGAAATACAAAGGAAAGGCAAGCTGGTTTTAAAAGCTTAAGAAAGGAAAACATAATTTATCTTTTTAAAAGCAATTCAAAACTTGTCTGCTTTTCTCTAAACCTTTTCTCAATCAGTCTCTCAATTGTAGTATTACACTGGTAATATGAGGAATATATGCTCCTGCTGTTTGAAAGGTGTTTTAAAAAGCAATACAAAAAGTTAATGTAATAAATCATTTATATGGTTTTTTGTTTCTCACAGATTGACAAAATAATGAATTCCATAGATGTTGGAATTAACAGTGAACTTGAAGAAATGAATGGTAAGAGCACAAGTAAGGAAGCATCTATTCTATGTTACACCAAGAACTAGTTAGAAAATGTTGAGAGTCTACATGATTTCATGTTTTATCAAAATTATTTCCTTCCACCCATATCAAACAACCATGACCTCTAAAAATAGCAGTTGTAAGTATACTGATTAAGCAAATTGAGGGATTTTTTTTCCCCATGTGCTATTTTACTTCACCAGCTAACATTAATGGAGTTTCAACTTTATGTAGAGCTAAGTATGAAGCACTTAGAAGTATTGAAGTATATGATGACTTAATACAGTACTGCTCATTCAGTGAAATGTTCCATTTATCGTGGCCAAAGTGATTTATCACCTTCTCCTAAATTGTAACCTCCAGTGTGGCAAGAACCATGGGTTACTCATCTTTGTGGATTCCAGAATACTCAGCAGAATGTCTGACAAGTAGTGGGTTTGGCAATCATATTTATCATGTTACCCTTAGGAGGTATTGTTTCCTTACCTACAATTAAAGCTCAGAGTAGAAGGTCATCTGGAACTTTATTTTAAGACTTTTTCACTTTATAGTGATGGCTGATGTCAAATACCGGAGAGCTAAACCTAAAAGTAATAGTAAAATTCATACTAAAGAAACTGCTATTCTGGAAAGAGCCGAAAGACCTGGCTCCATTTCTACCCTGAGAGTGAGTAGTGGTGTAGCTATAGATCAGATAGCTCTATATAGAATTTGGAGTTAAAATAGATTATTTCTAAGCTCTCAGGAGAACCTATGTTTACATTAGTGACAGTTGATGTTTCTGTAAAGATAATGAAATTAAGGTCTTCAAGAGAGACAAGCTTAAATATATCATAGGGAAACAGTTATGGGATTTTGTGGCCCTTTGACTAGTCGCCAGGATCTTTTAACCAGCGTTCCAAGTGGCCCTTAAGCACAGGAAAGTTGGCTGATGGCTCTCTTTTGGTCCCGTGGGCCTGGGTGGATAAGAAGTAACATTGAAATCAGAGGTTACAATCACTGAAGGGAATCTTCAGGTCTAAATGAAACTTTTGGAGGAGCACCTCACTCATTTCTCCTATGCTGGAACAAGTGAGAACTTAAATTATTCTAATATGGCTGGGTCCTATGTAAATTAAGTGATATATATTTTTAAAGGTTTAAATAATTATTTTCTGAAACGCATATTTGTTTTAGATTTTAAAAACTGAAAAATTATGAGTGAAGTACCAAAATTATGTGCTTATGTTTAGTGATACAGTATGATAGGAGCTCTGTGGTAGCCTCTGCAGCCAGGTTTCTCACACAGAAAAGCTGATAAACATTAAGGACTTTTCTAGTATCCAAAGTACTAGCTCAGGAGGGTACGATGCCACATCAATCTTCGGACATACTTACAGAATAATTTCAAGAAAGCTTTAGGAATGCAGATTTTTGATTAATGTGGAGGTAAGAATTAATTTTCTTATCGATAATAAATTGCCTGGCCCTGACAATGTTCAAGCAGAGACTTAGTGCTTCTCTGTTGACAGACTTAGATGACATTGAACACTGATGTTCTAAAATTCTTCAGATAATACCATAGTATTGTACAAATACCATAAACATGATTATAGTGAAAATAAGGGTAAATGTTAAACATGCCACTTGGGCAAATTGCCTTTGAAGGGCATTTTAATGCTGCACAAATCCACAGATTATTTTCCCTTAGTTCTCCTCTTTCTAACTCTTGTGCCTCCATCCATCCCGCTGTTTTTATTTACTATTTTTCTACAGTGATAATGAAAATGAAAATAGAGACTCAGTCCCCAAAGTATCGTTACTATTAACAAAGACTAGTTCTGTATATGCCTTAATTTTCACCTCTAAATTACATACTAATTATGCACTGATTGACCATAATATGCTGCACTCCAATTGGCCATTAGGCCACTTGTGAATTACAGCTTTGCTGGGCTGCAGGTTTTTTGCTCTTGAAACTAGATAGAGCTACAGAAGTGATAAACAACCCCATGAAGAAGACATTCTGTAAATGTATTGGGTATTAAGTATGGTCCAGAAACCACAATGTGAAATAAAAAGTCACACAGATGTGATTTCAAACCTCAACTTTATTTGCACTAGTTGCTTGATCTTTGACAACTCACACAGTTACTCTAGTGACAGAAATGGGGATGAAAATATAGGATCATTGTAGAGATGTGCAATGGCATATAGGTAGTCTGGCACATGTAGATATGTACTGAATTTTAGTTCCTCCCTTGCCCTACTATGAGAGACATGTTTTGTTTGACACTGTGGGCATATCAAGATAAATATCCATCAACCCTTCCTTTAAGAACTTTATGGTGTCGGCTAGTCTCACAGTCTTCATGTTAAATTTTCTGTATTTCCTGGAATAGCGATGTGTAAGTTTTAATTTAGGTAGTAACAAGCCCAACAGTCAGTCAGTACCAGAGAAGAGTAATTACTAAAAAAGAGCATAAAACCCCAGGGTACACTGACAAAGAAAAGAGAAAAATCTAGAAGGTGTTGATTTAAATGGTTTAAATTATTTTTTTATGAAATCTGAGTATCTTCTTCTCTTAACAATGTGCTTGAGATGTGTAATGAAATTAGCAGGAAGTTAAATTGAGGATGACCATTAAGAAATACTAATTTTCTGAGTGTGTGTTGTCAGCATCTAGAATTTTGTGTTGGAAACCCACTGAACCAAGCATCATGCCTGGCATTAACAGAGCTGCATAGCTTTTTTTTTTTTTTTTTTAGGTAGTAACAAGCCCAACAGTCAGTCAGTACCAGAGAAGAGTAATTACTAAAAAAGAGCATAAAACCCCAGGGTACACTGACAAAGAAAAGAGAAAAATCTAGAAGGTGTTGATTTAAATGGTTTAAATTATTTTTTTATGAAATCTGAGTATCTTCTTCTCTTAACAATGTGCTTGAGATGTGTAATGAAATTAGCAGGAAGTTAAATTGAGGATGACCATTAAGAAATACTAATTTTCTGAGTGTGTGTTGTCAGCATCTAGAATTTTGTGTTGGAAACCCACTGAACCAAGCATCATGCCTGGCATTAACAGAGCTGCATAGCTTTTTTTTTTTTTTTCACTTTTGATGCCTAAGATTATATTTTCCATTGTTTTACAATATGATTGAAGTAGTTTTTTAAATTAATTAATTAAATTTTATTTTGGTATCATTAATGTACAATTACTTAAACAACATTATGGTTATTAGACTCCCCCTATTATCAAGTCCCCCCTACATACTCCATTACAGTCACTGTCCATCAGCAGAGCTGCATAGTTTTATGAGTATCTATGATGCTTGTTGCTAAAAACCTCTGAAGGCGATTGGGAGAATAAAATCATAAGCAATGGAGATACATAATGGATTGACATTACATTTTTCACACCCTGGCCCATTTTATTTCATTGTTTTTGTATGCCCTCCCTCACACCTACATATTTGCAATTTCAGGTGTTTTGTTAACGAAATACTGGACTATGAAGGTTTTTGGAACTCTCATCACTCCTGAAAATATGAACCTGGTTAAAATCTGAGCAGTTTTTATGAATAATCTAACTAGTTTGACTTACAGAAACTAATTTCCTCTTTTTAAAAATTTTCTCAGCAGTTACATAATAGTTTGAATCTTATCTGGCAACCCTAACTGTCCAGGACTAAGATTAGAAATAAAAGTAAATAAAATTTACTGAATTTATTTTATGTTAATTCCTTAGGTTGTCACTCAAAATACTATTAGTGGGTAATTTTCACAAAAAAGCTCCTTGTTTCCCACTTGAAATCAGACTTGAATGTCAAGCAAATTAGATTGGCAGTAGGATTCAATTACATTGAATACCTCATATTATACAGAACAACTTATTCTTTGGTGGTGCTGGCAATGTGATGTGTTAGTATATTCTACATCTCAAATAACACCATGTATAGGATTTTTTCAGAAAACAGTTTTGAAGTTAGATGGACTTGGCTTCAGATTCCAGCATTGCAATTCACTGGCTTTGTGACCTCTTTGATCTCAATTTCCTTCCCTATAAATTCAGATTTTTAACAGCCACCTCATAAAACTGCTACCAAATTAAATTATATACTTGTACTACTATAGCCTAGAACACAGCAGGTGATCAGTAAATATAAATTCTCTTACCTTTTTATCCACATATGCCTGACTTGTTTATCTAATTACAGCATATGGGAAATCTTGCTTCTCTTTTTGATCAGTAAGAATTGTAGTTGATGTAACTACTCATATTCTAAGCTGTTTTCATGCAGAATCTTTCTTGAAGTTTTGTTCTTAACCATTCTCCTGTATCTTCACAAGAAAGCACTTTCCAATTAGGAAATTTACCATGTTTATTGGGACTACTTCAGAGTGTCACACTTTCCAAGAATCAGGTTGACAATCTTCTTGATGAGATTGAGGATCACTTAAAGGAATTAAGCCAACTATTACCTCCATTTATTATTACCCAACAGCAAATATGCAGAGTAATCAAATGCCCAGGGTTTGTAACATGGGGGTAGCAGATAGTCTAATAAACACCCTCCTATTTCTAAATTGGCTTTAATAATTTCTTGCCATATTAAACAGACTTCAGGTGCATGGACTGTATTAGATTGATCTCAAGTACATGAATATAAAAAAGTAATATTTAGTTAAAAGTTACTTTTTAAGCCTGATATTTCCCCCCCCACATTTAAGGCTAAATTGTATTGAAAAAGAAATATTCTAGAGTCTTATCTTTTAAAACCCTACTTCCGCCAATATATGAATTCCACCTAAATTTTAAGTATAAATGAAAACTATTAAAATAAATTTGTAAAGGTTTTTATCATAGAGTATGAGGTCTACATTGGATAGATAAAGCATGATTCTTAAGTTAATTGCTGGAGAATATGTAGCTCTGAAAGCAGTTGCTAACATTAATCTGAAACCCTGCTTTCTAAATTTTTGCTTCTCTTTCTTTAAGAGGCTGAGAGCCAGGTTA